GATTATCTTGCACACTCCATGAGGGCAACAATCCCGCAGCTACTTCTGAGTTCTGCATGGCTTTGTATGCACAAAGCAACTGTTTACTGTGACCATGAGTAAGGAAGGCCCATAGGGGGGCTTAGTGGACCGGATGGAGACAGAGCAGCCAGTCGTCTTGTCTGTGATAAAAGCACTAGAAATTATGGCCGGTATTGATTGGCTGACAGTTATGAAAGCATAGAAACCGGAGACAAGATTGAAAAGCAAACTAGAAACATTCAAGGCGCTCCGATTCACACAAGCAATGATATACACAGGAAAACGGACGTTAGTTGGAAGCTGACGGCGCGCCTATGACAGCGCTTCACGCGATGGATCGAATATGGCACAGCCGGTCCCGCTTAGCGCTGGATTTTTCGGGTGAAGTGGCGTGTAGCTTATTCCGCCCAGCAAGCGATGAAAAAGGGGAAGGTCGATGTAGAGCAAGATCAGGGACGATGTGTCATATACTGTGTTTGTAAAATGGACCCTCCGATCACTTTGGCTGATATTACAGCAACTGCCAGCAGATGACCAACGTTGGGCAAGATTTTTCCTTTTCCTCTTGAACAGCCAACCGAGGGTCATCGCCAAGATTATTAATGACGCTCTAGCCTTTGAGGCGCTCGGCGGTCGGCACTCGGTCGCTTCCGTCTCCGTCGGGCTCATTGGCGCCGATGGTTCGTTCGATTGTGTCTCTAGTCCGTTCCAGAAGGACTGCTCTTTGAACCCTGGCGCTTGCTCGCTTTGAGATTGACTGCACCCGTTCAGAATCTTAGCTGCTTTAAATCAAACAATATAGTGACGTAGTTGTATTGTATAGGAGAGAGAGAGAGTAAATGTTTCTTTACGGCTAGAATCCATGGTTCCTTAGATATCGTCGGTAATGCCACTGTTGAGTTGATAACTGAATCGTTTTAGAATCCCAGTCAGCTACTAACTCGATGCCTGCTCGCACTTGTTTGCTCTGAATAATCCAAACGCATACCTTTTATAGCTCCAGTTCGCATTGCTACACACGCGTTTGCCATTCGGACGTAATACTTCTCGATCCAGCAGAATACCTTCTACCTCATTGGATGTGCTTGATGCCACCGAACGCTGCAAACCCGTGTGTACCAATGAGCGTCGCTCCTTCGACTCCGATAGAGGTAGTATAATATCTACCCAACAGTTGCACTCGAAGCAACGTGGGCTTCCTTCGTGGCCTGAAGATGATTCGAATAACCCTATAAATGCCTGCCACTTATTGCCTTTACAACGCGCAGGCATGCGAATCTCGCCCTTGAGTTTTTCTCTAGACGACCGCTCGTTCTCGGACCATTTCCCGCGCTTCGTGGATGCTTTTAGAGAGGAGGGTGATCACTAGCAGAAGCTCATTATTAGCACGATAGAGGATTAAAGCAAGTGATCATGCGGTCTGGTAGCCTTACGAACCCATAGTTGTTGCAGCGCCTAAGGTTTAGACTAAGGCCAGAACCCGATCAGATAAAAGCCCGCATCAGGCTTTTATTGGACTATTCCAGTCCAGGAAAGCTCAAACCCCCCGCATTTCGTGGAAGATGCAGTGCTTTTCCCTCTCTGCCTCCTCAATGAGTAAGATTGAAGTTGCCTACTCTGCTCAGCTGAAGGTCCCGGAAGCAGGAGATGTGACATGTAATCGTGAGATGTAAACAGATTATCCAATGGACAGGTGCTCATCTGTTTGATAGATGTACCAGAGCTTGGTAGAAGACGCACACGCTATTGAGTGAGACGTGTTCGTTCGTGTCCGAGTCTTTCCTGCGAACATGATGACTCTTGGACTCGATTAAGGTAGTATAGATTCTTCTCTGATAGGATTTCTCCTGCTCCGTCAGAAAGCTTTGAGGGGCAGAAAAAGCAAGCATACGAGAGAAAGTCAAGGAAAGAAAGTATGACGGCTGAAGGAGAGATGAATCGTAGCCCTCCGCGTTAGTAAACACTGGAGCACGTGCTAGTTCATCAGCCAGTGTAGTTATTGCGTACCATCTCTACAACAACAGACAGTTGCAAACGATTACCATTCGTAAACCATACCCAATTAGACTACTGCCGTGTTAAAACTCCGATGTTCGCAAGTCTCCTATACAAGCTGGCGTAGTATAACATAATCCAGCCGGGGCGATAACTAGTGACCATCGCTGTGCTAGACAGTTTACGGCTACCCTAGGCTTTAATTGTAGTAAGTGGCAATCTACGCCACTCAAGTAGCAGAGGGCTAGAAAGTCCTAATCAGCTCACGAAACCTAAAACACGCAGCCTGGAGCGGGATCTGTCGTGGTCATGTTGGATTTTACGTAGTACGCTTGGTCTCTACCTAGTGGGTATGTATACAGTCCGAAAAGGGAACATGACCCGAGCATACGAGCCCTATGGGCATTGCTACTGCGCGAGTAAGACATGAGCTGAGATTTCATGTAAAACTACTTCTTGGCAAGTGGGCAGGAAGAAGTCAAGCATGAAGCTGGGTGGCATGGGGCCCGAATTGGCAGTGGAGAATCAACTTCCAGCGGCGCAGTGGGCGGTTGGAGAAGTGGATAGTAGCCTATCCAGTCGGCCGCGGAAAAACCTATTAGGTTGTCGACGTGGTAAGCCTTCTTTACGTAGGTTAATGCATAGTTGGAGTTATTGTGGTCCATTGCGGCGCCGAGATGGTCCCGAGGAGAGGACATCCACTCTCCGTAAGATTCGAGACTTCTCCATGGACCGTGTCATCCATCGGAAGGTCTTTCTGAATGACAGCAGGATGCAGTGGGTACGGAATGATGTGCTAGGTCAGTCGCACCTACCGGAGAACTCCCGTCACTCAGGGACCATTTTGACTACCCAGTCAACACAGTGCGTAGTCTGTGGTGACCCGCGAAGAAATAACTGTAATCGACAGCAACCGCATGGTCCAGATAATGCACATTGCGGGAATTGTGCAACGAAACCAGTGCAGGTGTAAGGACCGTACTTAAGTATACTCTGCAGGCCAGTCGAGGACGCAACTAACCAAATCCTCGGAACTCGACAGGACTATGTAAGGGGAGAAAGATCTTCCCACCTGAAGGGAACCCGTTTAGGAAGTTGGACTGGGGAGCAGTGTGGTCGATCGGTCTGATCATAGCCAAACAAAGATGGCCATCAGCACAGTGAGGTCATATTCCGCCGTGGAGCGCGGGGAAAGCAGTCCCTCCAGTAGAGATAGAGACCGAGGAGCAAGAAGATGGATTCAGGAGACGGGCAGAAGCGCCAAGCTTGCAAGTTGGTAGTAGTTATGGTTAGTTGACCAGATGCCTCGAAAGTTCGATCGAGGAAGCAACGGCCGGAAGGACCGCGTCATTCAGCAACGCGTTTAACTGATTATGATTTGCTCCGATCAATAGTGAAACGGCAAAACAGAATATCCCAGGGCTCGGACAAAGGTGCTTTTGTGAGAGCAGTGGAGAATCCAAGGTCTGGCTCAGCGATGGGTGGACTGGAAGAGAATATTAATATCTGGGAGGAGACAGTGCATAGGGAAGGGGATTGGCTCATGGTCCAACCCCTGGTGGGAAGCTAACCCCAAGACGGGCCACACTAATCTGCGGCGGATAATGTTAGATTGAAGGTCGTTGGCTCTCTGTCACGTTCTCGTAACGGAGATGTTGGATTCATAGTTAAGCCACAATAAAATGTGGGTATCAAAATTACCCATGATTACCAATTAGTTCTCCGTGCCGTGGCACTTCCCCTTTTCAGTTGGTTGGAGTGGGCGGGACTGGGAGGGACTTTTCGCTCCTCTCGGACGGCGTTCGCCTGTCTTTGTCACATCTGGGCGATGATCGAACAGGTTGACGTCCGCATTGTACTGTAAGTAGTAAGTAGTTGTAGTTAGTAGTTAGAACGGTACTGTGTCGTACCCAGTGCCGTGCTCCTCCCCCCCTCCTCTTCCCTACTACCCGGGCCTTCTCCCTAACATTCTGGAATGAGTAAGTACAGTAAGTAGTAGTAACTGGTATTTTTTTTCTCCCCCTTCTTCCCCAAAAATCTATCCGATCCAATCTTCTTCTGTTTTATCTTTCCCACCCCCCTCTCCCCAACTTTTTCTTTCCTTTCCCCTGGGAACTATATCTATCTATCCATCTCCTCCTCTCCCGCTCTCCGGACTCCTCCGCAACTGCCCGCCTCCCAAAGCGGTGAAATCATTTGGCCATTTCCGAGGCTGTGACTGGCCAACCACAGCGTGCGATCACGACATTTCTCCATTCTATCAGATCATCCACTAGCCTTGCCCGGGCATGAGACGATCACCACAACTGCGTGGTCCTTCATGCTTATTCCCCGGCCTGACGCTCGTTTTTCTCATCTTTTTGCCCTGGTGATACATGGTCCTGCTTGCTGGTCGTTTCCTCCTTCTGCAACTAACTCTAGTACTCACCTGAAATCCCACCCCTCTCTTTAATCTGGCCACGCTTGGTCTCGATCCACATCGCAACCTGACTAGCTTTCCCGGTCGCCCCCTTCTACCCTCCTTCCCACTCATCCCTCCCGGCCCATTGTCCCATTACTGCTCGTGCTTCTCTGCGTACGTGGCTAGCCGTCCCGGGCCATGCCATAGCGAGCGATGGAGTGAATGCAGAACAGATATCTTTGCTACAAGTCACCCAATCTGCATCCTGTGAAATATTCCTGCCAACCTGTATTATCTCCGAACCTTACTTTTCCACTCACAGACACACACACTCACACACACCCCTTCCCCTCCTTTTTTATTTTTATTTTTCTTAAACACGCTGATCTGGGGTTTGACATTGGCTTGTCAATTCTGTACCATTCTGTTGTCATCTAAACCACTTCTGGATCTTGCCTGTCCGGGACGCAGCCACCAAGCAATTTGGGAGGCAAGCGGTTACGAAAAAGAAAAATACCCAAAAACGAACCTAATTTAGAGGGCAAGGGCCGGAATCCCTCTAAATACCTCCTCCACTGCCAATATGTCAGATGAGCACCTCGCTCGTCAGACAGCCTCGAGCTTCGATAGGCTCGAAAACTTCAACTTTCTTCTCTCTCGACACGATCCTAACTTGGCCAAGAGTCGTCACTATTCCTTTGACGCAGATTCTACCGGCCTGGCTGCCTTTTCGAATCTGAACATGGATTACGATCAGACTGAGGGGATGGGCGGTCTCTCCGTCAGTTCGTATGATAGCATTGAGGACGAACGCAGTCCGATCGATGTGCGCGGATATCCGTATCATGGTAAGTCTCCCAAGATCTATGACTCTCATCGTTGCATCGTTTGCGCAATTTTCGTGCTTTGTGGTTCGCTTTAATTTCGCTAGCCCTACGGCATTGGATGGCTTTGTTATGCTCGAAGATTGCTGTGGAAGCGCATGTAACCGCAGATGCCTTGTCCTTGTTGCTTGTGACCAGATTGTCTTGAACTTGATCCTCCCTGCGTCCTTTAATTCTGGCTGCCTGAGAATGGCCACATTGAATACCCTCTGTAACCACTTTTCCCCCTTTACTTTTTCGGGGGAGTTCTCTGGATTCTGTTTAATTTTCGCTGCATTGCGAAAATTCTGCAGCTCCGGGACACCTTACCCACCTTGATTCTATTTCTATGCTTTTCGCTCGTCTTTGGTGTCTTTAGCTTGAGGTTCTGGTGGGTTGCCATCCCCATGTCTGGATGAGCGCTCTATTTGAGCACGCAATCGTTCACACCAATGACAACGTCGGGAACCCTGTCGTTAACGGACCCTTATGCCGAGCTTACCTCTTCTTGATCATCCAAGGCCCCCTTCAAGTGCTCCATGTTCCCCCTGCTTCTGTTTCCGATCTTGAACATTGTCCCCTTCTGCTTGCTGTCTCCATATCACTTCTTGGCTTTGGGTGTTACCACCCCACGCTACCTACTACCAAGGGACAAGTGTATTGACTCCTCTATACAGACCAAATGCTGTCCTACTCAGCTCATCCCATCTATCCACCTATCTCATATGGTCCTCCCGATGACCTGGGGCACGGTGCGGGTGCTATGACACCCTCCGATGTCTCCTCTTCCATCTCACCTCCAAACGGCCACATCAACCACAGCAAGTACAGCACGCAGATTCCTGGCGATCACCTTGCTTCCGCCCTTGGCCAGGAGGAGGGCGTCCGCCGTGCTGCCGAAGAAGACCGGCGACGCCGCAATACGGCTGCCAGCGCCCGGTTTCGCATGAAGAAGAAGCAGCGCGAACAGGCCCTCGAACGCACCGTGCGCGAAACCACCGAGAAGAACGCGACTCTCGAGGCGCGTGTAGCGCAGCTCGAAATGGAGAACCGCTGGCTGAAGAACCTCTTGACCGAAAAGCACGAAGCCAGCTCGACTCGCATGGCTCCTCCCCCAAATGACAGCACAGCCTTGGCCTCCCAAGGTACCAACGCTACTGGCCCCGGGCAAAAACATATTCAGCCAAAAAAGAAGGGCGTCGGGACCGACAACTGAAGTCAAAGAAAAGAAGTTGCATTCTTGATTCCTTTTTTTGTTTGAGCTTCTTTGTGCCTTGCTTCATCGTCCTCAATCATTTCGATATTTACATAGTACCTGCGTGGATCTCCATGGGTCTTCTTTTGTATGGGTTCACTCACAGACTGAGTGGCCCGTCGCATCTGTTTTCGTTTCCCTCTTTTAGGCTGGTTATCCATCCTAGGATGGAGTCAGATGACGATGTAATGACATGTTTCCTATGTTCTTCTATCTCCTGTTTGTGTGCGCGAAGATGAGGGTTTGTGGGTCGTCTTCAGCCTGGTTCGGTTATTTCTCAAGGGCCATGGACATGGTTTTGCTTATGCTTGTTGTTGTGAGCTTTCAGCGGGCCGGGGGTCAGGGATAGAGTCCTCTAAACCCCTTATACATATACATACGTGCCCCCGCAATCGGAGTACTGGGAAGGGTTGCTTGTTCATCTCTTGTGTTTTCTGTTGGTGTTGGTGTTGTTGTTGCTGTTAAACGCATTGACCAGCCCACGTGCAACTGAGTGGTCTCGAAGACTCGACTCTTGTACACGGTGTTTCAGACTCATACTATCATCTATCATCTATCTACTATATGCCGAATGGGTTTCAGCCGAGCCCAAGTGCCAGAATGAACTGCACGGCTTATTTCTACAGACCAGCGAGTTATCAGAGTAGCCGTAGAAGAGATAAACCGTCTTTGACTGACAGTATTCAGCCACAGTCTCTAAACATGTAGTCCTAGTGGGTAATCTCTATAAGGCAACAAAGACAAGGGTCACATGGTTACTGCGCCCAAAACCACCAATCCGGGGAATCCGGCTTGGTGGCCCCCCTCCTTCCCTCCCTCCCGCCCCGACCGCCATTTCTTCCGCCCGTGACATCACCCCCCTAATACTGCCTAAGGATGCTAGCACACTACTAACTACTTAGCAAGGGGAGAAGACAGGCAGCTATCCAAGCCCGGCTGATCTTTACTCCGTGATGATACCAACATCTACAATGTATTTTAATTGTGCATACATACTATAGTCCCATGCTGCTGCTGCTGCTGCTGCTATCTCAGATCAGGATCCTATGTATCGTAAGTATCTTGTCCTTAGGATTTTATGTACTGCATACAGTAGTAAGACCCGATCGATCGATCTGAGAAGGTAAGCTGGTAAACTAATTGAAAGGCCCGTACTAAGTACCTTTCCTAGTTTGAGTAAGATGGATTCTTATTTTGAGGAATGAATGACGTGATATAGAGAGATGGTCACGATTTTGTTTACTAAATTAAATTGTATTGGACGTGGGGGTTGGAGAATGTAAAGTAGTGTTTTTGTCATTTGGCTTTCCTTTTCTTTTGGGTCGTTGCTTTTTGCTCGTTTTTGGGGGGGTAGTGTGTGGGTGGTGTGCTTGGTTTGTGGGCTGTGAATATGACTGCTGTGTTAGTAGTAAGTTGATCTGGAAGAAATTACGTGCTTCTAAGTAGTCACAGGATTAGCTGTGACTGCAAGTCTCCGTGGGACTCATCTGATACAAGGGAATAATGTATAGGCCATTGCACAGCTCATTAACAAGTTCATTAAGTACCTACTACTCCTATCCCAAAACACAGAGATTCAAACCACGAGCACAAGACGAACTCAAGGATTGCACCAACTATAAATACTCTGTCTTTCTCCTCTCTCTGTTCCATCCTCCTCGCAGGTGGTATAGTAATACATTAATCAGTTCGACAATAGAGTAAGTTCCCCTTTGACCTGGCCATGTCTCTTTGGATCGCGATATTTCCACCACTTGTGTCGGATTTCATTTCCTTCACCAACAGGGGAATAATCTCGATAATATTGTCGGGACATGCGTCGTCAGGGAGTAAATTAATCGTAAGGTAACGGAAAACTCGTTAGGGGTAAAAGAAACACAAAAGGCATCAAGGAAGAACGACAAAATCATATCGAGCGGGAATCTCAAACCGCAAATATAGAGACAAAGATGAGAGATTGATCGGTACTTTGGCGGTCTCAATGATCATATATGATCCACCAAGGTAAGCTGATCTTCACCACTTTCTCATCCTATTTAAACAGACACCGTGACGGGCTCCCGCTCCTCTTCTCGACCCCGCGACTCTCCATCCACAGTGCTGGCCACTTCCTCACCATCCTCTACCTCGTGCTGGTAGGTCGCATGCTGATCCGCGGGCACCCAAGAGTCACGGCCCATGGGCTGGTCCTGGCCGGAAAGATCGACGCCTTCACGGCCCTTGAGGGTCTCACGGTGACGCTGAGACAGGGTGCGCGAGCGCTGGGAGAGAGCGGGCTTGACCGACGCCTTGGAGGTGACCCAGTTGGCGAGGGCTTCCTCACAGTCCTGGATGATGGCCTTGCTGGCGTCATATCCATCATAAGCATGGCGAGTCTCGCCTGGAGTAACCGGCGTGTCATCGACCAGGTCCAAGAGGTGCTTGCCGTAACCAGCGATGAGGGCCACCTTTTCGCAATGCTCCCTGAGTGCGTCGAACTGATACTGGAAGGCTGCCTTGAGCTTCTCACGAGTGATGTTGGAGAGCTGGGCTTCAGCCACGAGGGATTCGGCCTCAGCACGGACAAGCTCTTGCTCCAGAACAACGATGCGGGGAGAGTTGGGGTCCTTGTACTTGAGCTTAGCAATCTCATCGGTGATCTTTTGCTTGCCTAGAAGCGTTTGCATGTTAGTACTGAGATTTGATAAATAGGACAGAAATCACCTACGGTCGCGGCTGGGCTGAACAGAAGCCTCAATGTTGCGGATGCTCTTGATGGTGACACGGTACTGGTCATAGCGGTCGACGAAGAGATCTTCCAGTTCACCAATCTCGTAGAGCAAGACTCCCAGCTTGTCAGTGACGTCGGAAACGTCTTCGTCGCAGTTTTCACCCCAGATGGAGAGTTGTTGCTGCCAGCACCATGAATTAGTCGTGTCTCACAAGAAGTTGGAATGCTATACATACAGCAGTTTCCATACGCTCCCTAGAAACCATCTCCATACTGCGCATGACGTTCTTCTCCATCTTCACCAACTGGGAAAGCTTCCTGGCAAGGTCAGGCCCGAAGGCGCCAGCCGTGTTCTTGCGCAAGGCATGGCCTGAATTGACATTGTCAGTATAAACATCATACAAACCCCAGCTCGTTCTCAGGAGATAGTGGTTGTCTAGGCCCCCTAGCATAGGGAGTGACCAGAGCCATTGATCTCCATCCAGAACAAAGACCCAACATTCTTGAGGATCACTCACCAAAACCGCCCTTTCCAAAGATTCTGTTCGTCTTGGTGGAAGACAATGGCGGAGGAGGGTTCTCAATTTGCGAAGCCGTCGGCAGGCGCGACTGGCGCATAGAATAGGTGCGATGCATGGTGAATTGTCCGAGTGCGAAAGGCTAGACACAAGGGATGAAACGAAGGAATAGAGAAGAAAGCCACCAAGGTTGACTGCGAATCGGACGAGGCGGTATCTTTCAAGAGATTCTTTGCGCAGGAGTGACGTGTGTCAGGAGGGCGCGACGGGATGCGACGGAAGAGGGATCAAGGCGAGAGGGGTGGGCAATGCAACGGGTCCGAGATCGAGACACGAGATGGTCCGAAGTGGGAAAGGTGGAAAGGTGGGTGAGTGGTGATGATGGTAAGGAACCACGCTTGAGAGTCGATGAGCAGATGGATCAATGACACTTGCGAAATTCCTTCACTTGAGCCTGGGGGGGAAGAAGTGGGCTTTTGGGTGCTTTTTCCCCTTTGAAGGCTGGGGGAAGAGTGGAGCGAGTTGGGCTGGAAATGAAATGAACTGCTTGTGGTTGCAACTCTAGAGTCTCGTTCGTGACGTCGAGACTAGACCAGCACTAAACCCGATTGAGAGGCTCCAGTATTACAAGGTGAAAATCAGGCAGTAATTTTGGTTGATCACGAGCAACGCAAGGCGATTGGCAAATTTTCTCTTGCAATTAACTTCAATCCAGAGGAACCGGAGGAACAACCTATTAAGAAATCAAGGGGATTCGCAGGGGAACTGGGATCATCTCTCACTGCAAGCTTCATATATACCCATTCTTTTTTATTTTTTGGTTTCCCCGGAACCCGCGACGTCATCACGACCCAAAGAATCCGCCCAAAAATAACTGATGTCATCGATTTCCTGGTCCCTCGATCAGTCCAACACATGAAGCGAAAGTTTGACCAACTCGTCAATGTCATACAGAGTTTGAGCTATTCTCATATGGTGATGGTGTCTGTTTTGTGGCTTGCTAGCTGGGGTTTTCGTTTGTCTCATGCCCACAATGATCTCAACTAATCGATTATTCTTCTCATTCTAGGTAGATGTCCTCTACAGATCCGCCTCGATGGCTGGCTTGGGCAATTCCACCAGAAACCCCCTTTTTGAGACACACGATCGAGATAATCAGGGCGATAGTCCAGACCGCTGCGGGACTATAATTTAGTCTCATATAAACGTACAGATAGTAGGTCCAGATAGTGCCCATCGCCTAGGTGATCGCCGTCTCCGCATTCGGATCGCCCAGGACCAGAACTCCTGGAACTCGGGTCCAGCGGCACTTGCTTAGTGATTCTGCAACATCATGACGAACGGTGGGGGCCTTGTTCATCTCCCGTCAACACATGATGTTATGCAGAGTTTTTTTTCGTCCTTTTGCCTATGGCTATCAAGCTCTTGTGACACAGGCACTTATACCCCTTTCAGGTGAGGTTCGGCAGTAGCTTACGCCAGGTTTTGTACTTTTTTTGACGCTCCGGGTCACTCAAGTCATATCGTCACCAGGAGTTACACCCTCGACAACACTGCCCCACAGGTCCTCAGTCAACACTGCTTCCCAGTGGTGGTGAGAGTTAGTTGAGTCTCATGCTAATCTCTTCAAGCTTGAATATAAGCCTGTGGAGTCCACCTGCTGTCTCAGCATGGACCGCATTCTGTTCAGCTGGTCTTGTTAGCGCTTCCCACCCACCCGATGCAGCAGCTTACTTGTGTACAAGATACAAATTTTCACCCTTTGCACGGCCACTACTGCCCTTGTTCTCCGTTCAATGTATCTTTACCCACACTTCACAATGAGCTCCCCTCTTACGCGACTTAATCTTATCTTGTGTAGTATATTGCCGTTATTGTCTGTCAGGAAAGATACTCGTAGTATTTGGCCGAAACATTGCGGCTTCGTCCGATTACCTAGCCCACATTTCGATACACACAGTATTTTGCAGCCACACAGAGTAGTAGCAACAAAGTAGAAGCAAACAATATGCATCCGAAGAGTGACAAGTGATCTCAATCACGTTGAACCATGAGTCGCATACACTGTAGTATTGGCAGGGGATGAGTTCATGATCATCTTGCCACTAAGTACCAAATTGAGGCCATACGAGTGTCTATCATAGACTGGGTTCCTCGTTGATGAGCTATGACTTGTCTGCAGCGATAGAATCACTAGCAAATGCAAACCCCTCAGATTCTGGCAGGCTGTGTCACGTGCCACACCACATCCCACCATCCCATTACGTAAGCATATTCACGGTGGATGGAAATTCTGGAATTTTGAAGGATGATCGCCATGCGGGGGAAGCCACCATTTGTAGATAATGTGCCTCGAAGAATGCATCCCTCCGTTGAGGTCAGTGGTAGTCATATTCATCAATTATACTCAACATCGCTGACTGTCTCCAGCACATTGACACTTGCGTCCCCGTAACGGCGCTCAAAGCGCTTGAGTTGAGGGATGTCAAGCTTCTACTCCAAGCCCAAGGCACTTATATCAGACTTATTGATGAAGCGAGTGGAAATTTGCTCGCAGAGCTGAAGGCTTTCAAGCGCAACCATGTGCACGGGTTCGTTGCTCTTAGCCAACAAGAGCAAGCTGCCGGACCCTCGCATGCCCGGTTCATTGCCTGGGGAGGACAGTCCGTGAGAGCTTTTGACTTGTTCCTCTCTGTTCAGGAGCCCAGTGCGAGCCTCGTGGCTGCAAGTGCTGAATACCAGGGACCGGATTGGATCCTGGCCGGCTGTGCGTCCAGCCAGGAGGAGTCCACGACTGCATATGTGTTGACGGCCCACAATGCCGTTCTTGGTCTGCATATAGTAGATGGAGACGGGTCAAAACATGAAAAGGCTGTTCACATAAAGCCACTTGTCACTGGGGTCAACACGATCTTGTACTCTGCAGATATCGTCGCCCTCTCGGACTCTCACATCCTGATTGCCGCAGGGACTGTTTTTGGAGAGATCATCGTTTGGTCTTCCTATCTGAATGAGTCTGGAGGAGCAGTCGGTTCGATTCATCACTTCTTTACGGGTCATGAAGGGTCAATCTTCGGAGTCCGGATATCTCCTTCTATTGCTTCCTTGCGCGGTGACCAGAGCGGACGACTGCTGGCTAGTTGTAGTGACGATAGAACGATCAGAATCTGGGACATTTCTGACTGCGAGCGTACGTCTCGCCACGATGCGCCGGCGTACTCGACCGATGGCTTTGAGCTCCGGAGCACTGGCTTCGGTGCTGTAGCTCATGACAATGAGGTCGGTTCTGAGAAAACCATTGCCAGTGCTTTTGGGCATCTGGCTCGAATTTGGGGTGTCAACTTCCTTCCTGTGGGAGAGGGATTGGGCAAAATGAATCTTATATCTCGTGGTGAAGATGCGACGTGCATACTATGGGATCTCACATGGGACCCGTCGTCACAGACTCCCCAGTTCAAGCTGACTGAGGGCATATCCATCCGCAAACACACTGGCAAGCACGTTTGGTCCTTGGAGGTGCGCAGCACCGATACTGAGGCGGTAATTTATACCGGCGGCGCTGATGGAGCCGTGAAGAATTTCACCATTAAGGCAGACGAGAAGGGATCTCTCGTTTTACCCAATCTACACGACCGCATTACGATGACAGTTGATACTCAAAATCCGGAACCCCACGTTGAGACGTCCATCAAAGGCTTTGATTTTGTCTCACAATATGAATTCATTGCTGTGACTGCCCGTGGCGAGGTTCAGGTCGGTCATATCAATGCCCAAGACTTGTCTAAACAACATATCTTCAAAGAAACATTATTTGTCGAAGATGACCTGCGATCCTACTCCGTTGTTGGCAGCCTGCCGCAGGAAGGCATCGCCCTTGTGGGCAACGCAAGAGGTTCGATTCGGCTTTACAATCACAACGTCAAGTCCTTGACAAGGCTTGTCGACGTTGGTCAAAGACCTTTGATTTTGATCCCCCTCGACTATAACCAGGTTTCAGAATCAGAAGCAAACCTGGTGTTCACTGTGTCTTATCCAAACTCCGAGACAGCAGAGCTTTTCATGGTATCGCTGTCAGGTGATGAACCGTCTGTGGATAGAATAACTATTAATCTCCCGTACGGCTTTGGCATGGCATCTGCATCCTTGGTATGCGGCAAGAAGTACCTGGCACTCGGCTCCCTCACTGGCAATTTCGCTCTGTATAAGGTGGCAAATACCGAGAGCATCGAACCTGTTATGCCCCCGAGCAAGCTACACGGTCGTGAAGGACTCAGCTACGTCACGTCATTCTCGTCGCTATACGGTGAAGAAGAGGAACAGCTGCATCCGTACTTTTTGACCTGTGGACGGAGCGGGACATACGGAGTGCACAAGCTGGTTATCTTAGAAGGCCCGGAGCCTTCTATTTCTCTTCAAACCCTGCATCTGGCCTCACTGGCTTTCAACTGTGAGATTCAAGGAGCCTATATCGACAAGGTATCTCAAGACCTCATGATCTACGGATTCCAGCCCATGGACTTTGTGCTCTGGAACGAGTCCGCGCAGACGGAAGTCGCTAGACACAAGTGTAATGGCGGCCGACGCGCCTGGGCTTTCCAACCTAACAACACAAAAGCTTGGGCTGGGTCACTCCTATGGATTCAATCTGGCTTCAGTGGCATGGAGATACATCCGGACGCCAGCCGGACCCTGCGTTCTGGCAGCCACGGAAGAGAGGTGAAGGCCATGTCTGCGACTCAGCAGGGTGGACTGGGCCCGTTGTTCGCGACGGGATCGGAAGATACAAATGTGCGTATCTTTACACCTCGCGATCCGCAGTCTGAGAACCGCTGGGGCGCGTTCAAATGTCTACGGCTCCTCCGAGAGCACCACACCGGTCTTCAGAGTGTGGGATGGTCCACTGACGGACGCTTCCTCTTCACGAGCGGTGGTTACGAGCAATTCTTCGTTTGGCGGACACACTTAATTCCTCGATTTGGACTTGGAACGACATTGGATGGAGAATGTCCGAAGAGCGATCCCAACTCGGATCTTCGGACGACGAGCTTCGACGTATTGGAGGTGGAGGACGAACAGGCAGAGGGTTCGTTCCTAATCTGTCTGACCTATTCCAACTCC